GTGTCCAAGAGTAAGTACCCAGCGGCAGCCAAGTGTGGATGGTGGCAGATTTCAGCCCCACCTCCTCTGCTTGTTCTCCTTCCCCCGACATCCCTGTCTCCCCATCTGTCTGTCTCTCTGATGGACACAGGGATGGCTGCCCCTTGAGGCTGTGGAGCCAAAGCTCAGGCCTGGCCCTTCATGCTCTGTCTCCTTCCAGCAGAGACTTATCACAGAATCCTAGACTGGCCCAGGCTGGAAGGGACCTCAGAGATCATTTAATCCAACCTCCCTGTCGTGGGCAGGGACGCCTCTCAACTAGATCAGGCAACACATGGGGACCGAACGGGAGGTTCCCATGAGCTCCCACAAATGGGGTCACTTGTCACAACTGCTTCCCACAGGGCCAATCCAGCAGCTCCAGCAGCAGGTTCCCCAGCTCAGCACTCACCTTGCCCACGCTCAGTGCTGCTGGAGACCTGTCCCCACTGCCAGGCATTGCTCTTGCTCTGGCCCCACAGCTGCCAGCCCTCCCTGGCCCCTGCCTCCCAGACCCCACAGGCTGAGTCCCTGAGAGCATGCCTTCCCTGGAGGAACCAGAGGAAGGGGACGGGAGCCACCCAGTTTGTATCTCACCTCTGCACGAGGAATCTGGGTCCAGTCCCCTTCTGCTCCTCACAGTGGGAGGTCCAGGGAGCACTCAGCCCACAGCATGTATTGCAGTGATGGGAAGGGTGCCACTGTGCCTGCTTTGGGATCTCACCAAACATGCCGGATGTTTTCCAGGGATCCAACAATACACAGCCAAGGAGTCAGGCAATGTCTCCATCCAGTGTCTGTACAGTGCCTCAGACTATGGAACTGTGAGCAAAGCCTGGTGCAAAGAGGGAGCCAGAAAATCTTGTGCTGCTGTACTGGTCCACACGAATTCGAACTCCTCAGAGTACCCCAGGACAGCTCAGCAAGGCAGAGTTACAATCCAGGACGACATCCAGCAGGGGATTGTCACCATCACCATGGAGAATCTACAGGCGCAGGACTCCGGGGTGTACTGGTGTGCGCTTTATGAACAGGATCAGTTCTTCCGAATGGTGGAGGTTACACTCAGTATTCCTGAAGGTGAGTGCTGACCTGTAG